TACTTCGTTATCGCTTTGATTATGGAAACAGCCCTGTCTGAGCGCGAGGATAGTGCCTTCAATTTTCTCCCTGGTATCAGACTGTCTGCTCTGGAGATGATGACAAAATTTCACTGCTAAGTGTAGATTCAGGTAAGTTGCAAGCTTTACTAAATAACTTGATTGCTAGTGTAACCATGTTCTGTACTGGTGTTACACCTTGAAGATGCTGAATATTGCTACAAGACCGGATTAGTCCAGCTCCCAGCCTCAATCTAACTCTGAAAGTAAAAGAGCATGTGGACGGTTTTTGTTCCTCGAGCAGCTGTATCTAACCCAGTGGACACATCACGGATGAGGTGCNTTCTGCTATAAAAAACAGAGACGTTGCCATTAAGAAAACAGGATAAAGATAGATTTCCGGTGTTCGAACGGCGCTGTCTATGCAGTATTGCAGGAATCTGTTGAAGCAACAGAACGAGCAATGCTGAGTTTAAGTGAGGAATTTTAGTAAACCGCAGGTAGAACATTGGAGCAAGTGATCGACCTCCATAGAGTAGGTTGGTTAAACATTCGTTGAAAATGTCTCCCAATTGCTTGCCACATGGAGCGTTATTTTCCGAGGGCGGTGTTGAGTATACCTAGAGCGAGGGTGTGAAAACCCTAACAAGGAGACTCGGTTTTATGGGTCGCGTTAGTCTCACTTAATGGGGATCTCGGGATCACTGTAATCAATAGTCTGAGGCAATAAATGATATGACGGAGTGTCGTAAACAGTTTTGCTCGTGCATCTTCTCAATTTCTTTGCAGCCCTAGTCCACTTGAATTCTCAATTTTCGCCCTGACACAGAATTAAACATTCCAACATTTCCTTTACTCCTTAATTCAAATTAGCAATCCTGAGAGACAAAACCGAAACCAGCGCACGAACGCGCATGGTTGGTGGTTGTAAGAACTGCACTGAAGTATAGAGATTTCCACCCTCAGAGTAATTGACACTTTCAAATGCGATGAAAATGTTTGTGACACTTGATACTTTGTTCAAAGTGTCTCTTATAAGTTTCCATTGTCTTGTCTGCGATCTACCTTCAACTTCCGAATTTTTACTTATATTAATCGGTACCGAGCGCTCAGAATGTTATGAATCACCCTCTCCCTATCTCAATGAACTGTTTAATCAAGTGTGCTGTTTATACCTCGTACATCCTCCAGTCAAAAGTGACACTAGCCTTACAGCATTCCAACTCGGTCAGGTTTGAATCAGCCTTCGGTAATAATAAACAAAAAAAGCAAAATGATATACTGTTTTGAATATTTACATAAAATGAGTTAAGTTGAGGAACTTTGCCGACGTTGACCATTTTGAAAAAAGCAAATGTTAGATGTAGTAAGCCTGTTGGCTTAATATGGAAATCGCACAATTATTATCAATGAAATGAACAGCTGCATGCCACATTCACAACAACGACTAGGATGGTTCTCTTCTCTCACCTTCAGATATTTTTATGCAAGATAAATCAACTTCATTTGGTCATGGAGAAGAACTTGCTTGTACAGTTCA